ATGTTCAGCTTCTACATATCCAGGTACGGGGAAAAAAGGGATTATTTATACGTAGAGTTACATGAGGGAATTGGGTAGAGGAAGAGCCCTTAGGATTATGAGAAATTTTATAATTATTTCTGTTTGGAGAATTATTGGTCTCATTTGATTCTATATATATTTAGGACTATGAATATATGATTTATTTGTAAAAATGATGCTCTGGGAGAGAGAACGTAATTATAGAAAAGTGTCTGTAAGTTAGGTTTTAGAAAAATTAGATTATTTCTATTTGAGGAATTAATGATACCATTAGATTCTGTATGTGTTGAGGATTAGAAATATATATTTAATTTGTAAAAATGATGATCTGAAAGGGAGAACGAAACTGTAGAAAAGTGCCTGTGAGTTAGGTTTTGGAATAATTGGGGGTTTTATTGTTTATGTTAAAATTATATTAAATTGATAATTCCATTGATTATTATATTAATTTATGAATGTTATTGTTATATTATTTGATAAGAATTTATGATCTAGATGTGAATTGCTCGAAGGGTGTGTAAACCCTTATTTTGTTAGACTTATCTGTTATGTATGTGATATGGAATTGTGTATGTAATATAGAATTGAGATATGAGATGAGATGTTGTATGGATGTAAATATGATTGTGATTGTGGTTCCCCACACTAATGACTAGGGATGAGACGAACCTTGAGTAGTGATGCTTCAAGGACGAGCGTGCCCCTGACATGGTGTGGGATGAGTGAGACAATTAACACGCATCACTTATGTTAAATATGGCAGCCCTGACATAGGGTTAATTGCAAGAGATTGGTGTGGATTGTGATGTGATTGTGGTTCCTCACACTAATGACCAGGGATGAGACGAACCTTGGGTAAGTGATGCCACAAGGACGAAATATGATATATATATATATATATATATATATATATATGAATGCTTGTAAATGTTTCATTAAGTAATAAGTTATGATGAGATTACACTGTGGTGTGTTTGTATGTGCTTTGCATATAGATATTTTCTTTTCTCACTGTATAAATAATGGATGTTTTAGGTGAGGAGGATCCGGCTACGAGTGGCATCTAGAATGCCAACAGTTGAATTGTGGGGATGCTCTGATATTGTGACATCGGGGTAGAGGATTTTTAGAACATAGGTTTTTATATGGATTTGGAATTGTAAGTGTTATTTTTTAAAACAATTTGTAAACTCTTGCGTTTCATTTTTATTATTGTGGTTATTGAAGAATAATTTTGAAGATTCTCATGTGAACCCTTTTACCGAAATTGAAAAAATTTATTTGTAAGTTTTCATTATTACAATATATGTGTTGGGGTAGTAAGGGTGTCACAATCATCAGCATGAGGATATTGGTGATGATGTTTAAGTCTCATTGTGGGGTGTGCTCTGATAAGACATGTAACATCGGAGCTTAGTTAGGATTAGCATTGAAGTTTCATTACTGTTATTGTTTTTTTGGAAAGATTAATGTTTTATTTTGTCATCATTTCTACATTGGACTACGATTTGCAAAATATGAATGTGAACTTTCTATCTATATGTTTTGGAACCTTATTTCGATTAAGAAAGTTTTATTTACTCAGGAATGTACTTTATATTTATTGTGTATTATGTATGTGAGGTAGAGGGTTTCACAACTTCAACATGGTTATATCGATTACAATAATTGCAACGAGGGTGACTTTTTCCACCACGTCCCCAATTGCCTCCACCATGATGAGTGGAGTGTGAGACAAGGGTAGAGGAATCCGTAGAAGGGATAAAAGCTTGTCCAAAAGCACGTGGAGTAGAGATGCACAATAATTGTTCATTAATTATGTCATAGGGCTTGATAGTATCAAATTATGCATTGAATCAAGGTCAAGTAGGAGACCAACAAGAGCACAAGAACCATGAAAAATTGGTTGCTTTATTGATGAAATGTCTCTGCATTACTAGTAAAAGGCATTAGATTGGAATAATCAACAATCAAACAATCAAGCTTACTAATAAGATACATATGCATATCCATATTCTCAAGTTTGGTGAATATCATAACAGTTACCACACATAAAAGTGCACGCACATAGACAGAAAAAATAACCGTAAAACATTGATACCATAAAGGAGAATTGCAAGAATTATGTGTAATGGTTTACACATATTCTACTTTATTTATAATGAATTACAACCAAGGAAATTAGGAAAGAAAAAGAAGGAAAAGATCTGTAATTCCTAATTTTTAACTTTACATATTTTTCATATCTTTAACATTTTTATTTTTTTTGAATGAAATGAAATAATAATTTTTATCCTTCTTAATTAGATTTTTTTACTCAAATAATACTATTTTAAAAAGAATTTACCCAAATAGCAACTGTGTAAATTTATTTCCCAGACTAGCACTATTTACTATTCACGTTCCAGAACGGGCCGTTTTAGATTAAAAAATAACACATGACGAATGGATCAGAACGGGCCGTTCCGGATTCAAAAAATGCACATAAGAAGTGGAACTAGAATGAGTCGTTCTGAATCCAGAACGGGATGTTCTGACCTACAGATTCATGTTTTTTTTTCTCGATTTTCACTTATCAATTACCAAAACTCAGAGACTACCATCAAGTGATTAAATTTATTGAATATTAACATTATAAATATAACTAAATAAATTTATTAAAATTCATTACAACAATAAAGATCAATGGTGGCGTGACCAGGAGTGTGACAACAGGAACAATTTTTTACACGATTATGTTATTCTCTAATGTCCATCTCTGTTCTAATCTTGTTGGACTTTGGCCGACTCTTGAAAGTTCTTTTGCGTTCTAGATTTGGCCACAAAGTTGGAAGAAACGCAACATCCGAGAGAAGTTTGACCCGCTGAGAAATTTACAATAAGGCTAAATGAAATATGGTATGATTGCAGCAAGTTTTAGAAAGTTCATATCCCTTGCTCGCATGACCCGCTGGGAGATTTACAGTAAGGCGTGACCAGGGGTGTGACAATAGGAACAATTTTTTACACGATTATGTTGTTCTCTAATGTCCATCTTTGTTCTAATCCTGCTGGACTTTGACCGACCCTTGAAAGTTCTTTTGCGTTCTAGATTTGGCCACAAAGTTGGAAGAAACGCAACATCCGAGAGAAGTTTGACCCGCTGAGAAATTTACAATAAGGCTAAATGAAATGTGGTATGATTGCAACAAGTTTCAGAAAGTTCACATCCCTTGCTTGCATGACTCGCTGGGAGATTTACAGTAAGGCTAAATGTAATTTGGTGTGATTGTGGCAAGTTCCAAAAAGTTCATATCCCTTGCTCGCATGTACTCGCTTCATGCTTACATGCACATCACGACTATCAAACTTACATATCTCTCATATATACCTTACAATAAGTTGCAAAAGTATACGAAAGACAGTTTGGAGAGCTCTGACATGAAGATTATTGGCCTACTTACACTGTCCAACTTTGTGGCCAAATCTAAAAGTCAAGAGAACTTTTAAGGGTGGCCAATGTCCAACAGGATTAAAACAGATATGGACATTACAGAACAACATAATCAGTTTCTGCCACCATTGATCTTTATTGTTGTATTGAATTTTAATAAATTTATTTAGTTATATTTATAATGTTAATATTCAATAAATTTAATCACTTGATGGTAGTGTCTGAGTTTTGGTAATTGATAAATGAAAATCAGGAAAAAAAAAGCCTGAATCTGTAAGGCAGAACGACCTGTTCTGGTTCCACTTTTTATGTGCATTTTTTGAATCTAGAACGGCCCGTTCTGATCCATTCGTTATGTGTTCTTTCTTAATCTGGAACGGCCCGTTCTGAAATCAGAACAGCCCATTTTGGAATGTGAACAGTAAAAGGTGCTAGTTAGGGAAATAAATTTGCACGGTTGTTATTTGGGTAAATATTTTTTAAAATAGTATTATTTGAGTAAAAAACTCTCTTAATTATAAGGTAACATTTTTCTTTGTTTATTTATTTTGTTCAATTATGTATTTTAAATAATTTTCATAATAAGTTCTTAACTTTTTAAAATAATTTGATATCATATTTGTAATAAGATTTAAATAAATAAATATATCTAATAAAATTATTTTAATAAAGGATATTCTTATAAAAAAAATATCTATATATTCAAGAATATATTATTAAAATCAAATATAAAATTTCTTAATTTTCAAGAATTTATACGAATACTTCTACGATCCATAAGTAACTAAACAAATCTTAATTATTATAAGAATTTATGATTCGTAGGTATAAAATATCTTTTTTCCTACCAATCATCTTCTTGAAATAAGTGAATCTATACTCATTAAAATATTTAAATCATATAATTATTATAACTATAAAAATAAAATAATAATAATTTATTTACTATAAATGTTAATTATCATAAAATATATTATAATTAATGTTGATCAATTCTTTCATAATATAATTTATATGATCATTAAATTTATTTATTGTACCGTTAAATCCAATCTTATGTGGACATATGTTATTCACATATATGTGAATTTGACATGTATTATGTAAATCTATATATAAATTCATAAATACATTTATATTTATATAATACAATATATATGACAATGAGTGGAATGAACTTCCTAATCTTAAATATTGTTATTTCTTGATCAGATAGATTCGAAATCACAAATTTTACTTATAAAATTTCTGGCTTAGGTAAGTACAATAATAAACTCGTCCCCACAAAAGACCCTTAATTAAAACAATTAAATTTTCTCAATAACTTATATTTTATAAAAATCAAAACATCTTAAGGTAAACATCGACACTTCAAAATCAATCTTAACTCTTACGAAATAAATTCCATTAAGCCTGACTCAATTAACATTCATCCCTAGCATAGACGCAAGCACCATCTCTTGTAAAACCATACATAAAAAAAAAAAATAATAATAATAATAATAATAAAAATGTTACCTAAACATGGACACTTCGTCGTGTTGGGGACACACAGTACATGATCTGTCGTGCGACGCAATTCCACTTGGCGTAATAAAACAAAAGAAACTCCACCATGTCATAGGAACACGTTCCAACTCCAACGCACCGTTATCACTTTCTTTTCTTTTCTTTTCCCTCAGATCACAAAACCAACGCTAGCTCCAGTAACTTCCTTCGCTCTTTCTCTCTCTCCGTGAATCATGGAGAAGCCAATCCACGGCGGCGACTACGACTACGACTACCTCTCCGGCTTCGGCAACCACTTCTCCTCCGAGGCGGTGGCCGGAGCTCTGCCGGCGGCGCAGAATAGTCCTCTCATCTGCCCCTACGGCCTCTACGCCGAGCAAATCTCCGGCACCTCCTTCACTTCCCCTCGCAACCGCAACCTCTGCAGGTCAATCGCAACTTCTTACCCTCTCAATTTAACTAATATATAAATTTTTATTTTTCCGATTAAACGTAGAAAAATACATAATAATAATAATTATTATTATTTATATATTTCTTTTCACTCTCGTCTTCGGAACATAATATAAGGAAAATACTAAACAGTACGGAAAAATTACAAATTATAACAATAAGAGTTTTGATTGGTTGTTATTTTGAAAAGAAGTACTTCGGAGTTCGTACTTCTATATATTTATTTAAATTATAACAATAAAATAAAATAAAATAAATATAATAGATTATATAAGTAATTTGTAATTGAAAGCTAGGTGATTTGAAAATTCCTAGGGATATAAAAGCGTCTTTAAAAATGTCTATTTCTCTAGGTATGATTCGTTAATATCTTCGCCGTACCAAATAGCAGTTCCGTCCCACAATTAGTTACTCCTAAATTTTCTGGTGACTAAAATGCGTTGCCCCTTGTTAGATTTGTTGTTATAAATATAAATATATCAGATCACTATTTTTTTTCTCTCTTACCATTCATATTTATTTTTTAATTTAAATATATTTTGAATTTTTTAAATTTATAGTAAATTTATATCTGATCTCTGAAATTTAAAATTACTATTTTTAATTTTCACTAATAATAGATTGAGATAGTTATACACATTAATTACATTTAATATAATATTTTCATTAAGAAAAATAATAATAAGTAAGTTTTTGTAATAATATTTAACAAGTTTTCCAACAAAATTTGAATATAAAATTTAAAATAAGACATTTTAAATTTATAAAAACTAAAAAATTAAAACCCTAAAAATAAATTTGAGACAATATTTAATTCTTAATTTTTTTACCTTGATATCTTTTCCATCACATCAGATCACACACACACACACACACACACA